TGGAGCGTTTTTAAGTAAGTTTTGGTGCAATTAATCGAAGAATAATATGATAGAGAAATATAAAAGTGAATGCGAAAAGAAAATGTGATGAATCGAACGAGATAATGATAATGATACAGTTTAAAGATATACAGGGCAAAATTCCAATTCATTTTTTGTTGAAGTTAAGAATTATCTCGATTAATTGATTGATTTTTTTGAACCTTTTTGCTCAACTTTTTTCGATTTACCCCTGTGTTCGGGGTAAGAATAGATCCAACGTAATCCCTGCGTGTCGTAAAAGGCGACTAAAAGGGAAATTTATTCGAAGTTAGTTGTGTCTGTAAATAAATTTTTGTTCGATATAAAAGAATGGAAGAAATATAGAATAAAATTGAAAGGATAATATTTTTGGGGGGTATAAATATATTATTGATTAAATAAAGTTATTTAAAAATATACATTTTATTTCTCTTGTAGAGCAAATGTAGATAGAAATCATTCATGCAATGATAGTGATTATATATAGGATGTGGTTTGCACGTAAATTAAACACGCGAATAATTAATTGTGTTGGCAAGTATCTGACCATGGTTTGTTTATTGCGTCAAAATAACTTCCCTTTCAATTTTGAATCTTTTAAAATATGGCTTGGAACATCTATCATTATATTTTGTTTGATATAAGGAAATTTGGATGTCGAACTTAGATTCTTATAGTTACTAAAGTTATAAGAGCTAAAAGTTACATTGATTTGAGATTATTTTATAAAGTCAGAAGAGTAAGAAATTTATCTTAAAAGATTCAAAATTATCCTAAAAAAAAATTCAAAGATCATTATCACTCCGCCAATGATTCGAAAATAACTTATTAATTTTTCTGACACTGATTAATTGGTCAAACTTTCAAAAAAAAAACTTTTTTTGTCGATACAATGAAACCTTTATATTCGTCTCTCTCTATATTCGTTCGATTCAATATTCGTCATATTTTTCGGCAAGAAATTGCTTCGATATTCGTCCAAAAATCCAATATTTCGTCGCCAAAAATTTTTTCTTATTGCATGATTCACTTTTTGCTATCACTTTCAATCAAACTTAAATTCTAATTCCGAAGCTGAGAATTCATTTCTCCCTTTTTCCCCCATTAATCATTCATTTCGTCAATTCTTATTAGAAGATCGATTCTTCGATTATTCATCTCGTCCATTCTTCAAGATTAACGACGAATAATAGAGATTCCATCGCGTCATAAGAACCGAAATTTGCGAAAAAGAACGATATTAAGGGCTCTCATTTGCAATTCTAACTTAATATTTTTTGCCGAGTTCGTGATAAATTCCGCTTGTGAATCTCATTTCACGTTAAATCGAAAATATTTGCGGCCAGGTAACGTGCTCGTCTAGGTGGGTTTGCGGAAAAGCAAGCGGATAGTTTATTTTCCGGTAGACAAGAGCCACCACATAGCTTTGCTTTCATCTGGACGACAGGAAATATTGCATTCGACTTTGAAGCATAACATATTGTTCCATATGATTAATGTGTCTTGGTCCTCTCCACGGCGTTTTCTTTTCTTTTCTTTTTTTTTTCTTTTTTAATCCTGTCAACCCCTTCAAACGAATTCACCTCTTGTTTTTCTTTTCCTCGCGTCGATGGCACGACACCGATCCAATCGAAATCAAAAAAAAAAAAAAAAAGAATCGATGTAACTGAAGAATTTTTTTTTTTTTATCAATTTAGCAATCAATATTTTCAGCTTGGAATCTTCCGTTTTTGACAGTTTGAAAAAAAAAAAAAAAAAGAATCGATGTAACTGAAGAATTTTTTTTTTTTTATCAATTTAGCAATCAATATTTTCAGCTTGGAATCTTCCGTTTTTGACAGTTTGAAGAATAAATAAAATTAAAAGGTAAAAATGGAACGAGAAATTAAAATAAAAATTAAGGAATGATTAAACACGTGGAAATGAACTTAAACATTAATCAAATTCCAATTACAAACGCGATTACAATCAAAATTTTTTGACTACTACTTTCTTTTGCATACATTGTCAAAAAACTCATCGAAACTGCAGAAACTAATTCATAACAATGTATAATTCCACAAACAAGAAGCAACGTTCCACTTTCTGCAATTAAATAGATTGCACCAACTTTAACAATAAAAAAAAGCCGCATAATTTGCGGCAACTGGCAAAAAAGAGTTTCGGAAATTCAAATATATACCCGCAGCATCCTACATTCGAAACCGTTACGTAGCCATGGTTGCGGTTTATACCGAGTCTATAACTCCTTTGGATCGATCCTGTTTCCTCAAACGTGACGAGACTTCGCATAGTTTATGAAGTTTCGCCGATCGCGACACGCATGCGGCAGAATTCTCGCTCGATCGATCTTCCTTTCCTTCTGGAAGGCAAATGGACCTCAATATATATATATATATATATATATATATATATATAG